TATATATATATATATATATATACAGTATATGCAATAATATTATTGCAATAACCAGATTTATATATTTATCATCAATAAATACTAAAACTTTTTAATGAAATAATGGCTATAGACATATTTTATCAGTTTAAATGTATTTTTCACCATTAACAGGTTTGCGCTGGTTCAAGCCATTTGAATAAATGTATTTTAAAAATATGATTATTTAAATAAAATCAAATAGATGCAAATAGTTCATAATAAACAATGCCATGATTTTTTTAAAGTGCAGAAATGTTACCCTTTTCATTTGTGACTGACAAATATGCATTTAGTTTATCCGTTTATGTTAAAACTGTTTAAAATTGATGGAAATTTTATAATGAATTCAAATGACATAAATCTTAAATTTAAGCCTAAATAGTTTTTGAGCTGTTCCGTGAATAATTGCATATTTGCTTTTCAAATACACGATACATGATTTTTTGTTTGTTTGTTTGTTTTGGTAAATATTTAGTAAATATTTGTTAAATGTTCATTTAATTTCCGAGCTTTTATACGCAAAACAAAGACAACCAATGCTTCTACAAAAGTACAAATGCTAAAATCAGCAAAATAGTGCTTGAGTGCAAATATAATTGGGATCTAAATCTGAGAAATGATTCATTCCAATATTAATTTATATTCATTTCACAATTCAAGAAACAGACTTTGAATTGCAGATTTTCTAAGTGATACTGACATCAGCTATTTAAAAACACATAATCTGACACCTATAACAATACACTGACTCACAGCCCTTACGAAAACATTAACCATATACAGTTAAATCATGGTAACCACAGATTAACCGTGGTTTAACCATGGCATAGTAGTAAAAATGTGGTTATACAAATGGTAATCACCAAAAAAACATAGTCACTACACTTTAATAAAACCATGGTTCATTTTCGTTAGGGAGTGGCTAATATATGGGTCATTTCTCAATGGATGAATCTGTTGGGAGCTGCAAAAAGAAAAGAAATACTACTGCGCTAGATTGTAAAAACAATTCAAGTATTAACCTCCTGAGACCCAGCTATGGAGTTTTTGCCTCTGTAGTGGATGTTCTACTTTAGTGAATTTCTCTGAGACCTCACATGTCACAGTTTTAAGTCTGGATGTCCTGTACAGAGCACATTCAGGGCTTTCCAGAGATACCAAATGATTGGATGTTTCACCATGGCCACTCCCTCTCCTTGGTTTTTAAAAACGGCTGACATTAATTTAGTGATAAAATTGTACATCCTTATGGAAATATGATGGTAATTATAATTTAAATCTGATTAATTTTCAAATTGTAATAAATCATCATCTCAGGAAAATGTTATGGGGTTTCAAATCAAAATTTGACCTTCTGTTATGAAACAGGACATAATTTCATACATGTCCTCTGTAGAGGACACCAGGACTGAAAGCATGTTTATTATACATTCTGGGAGACAAAAGAATTGAATAGGAAAACAAATTATATATTAATATTCTTATGAAAATCTGGCCAATCACTACTCCTATTATTACACTTCTTTTTTCAACATGCTGTCCCAACAGCACTTTAATATGCAGATTATACAGTGTATAGATAACATTGTGCTTAATGGGAAACCCAGTTTATGGAATTTTTACACGCATATCGCATAAAGCAAAATGGTATCTCAAATCGTTGTGTTATGCATAGTTGAGAACCATCCTTAAACAAAGTTAGTTATAAAAAAATCCTGAAACCTAAAAATTGATTGCCGATTTAAAAAAAAAATTCCCATTGTTTTTGCCTTTTCAAATCTACTCTTATCGTTTTATTTGTAGCAAAAACTGAGTCCTGGTGTCCTCTACAGAGGATATAGCATAACTTATGAATAAGATATAATTGTTCAAAAACGGGGTGTAGAGGAGAGCGTCACAGATGGGAGGGGTGTGTGAGAGGAGCATCGCGCTGGATGTGGAGCAGGAAGGTGTGAGTGCTCTGTAGCCCACAGAGAGAGCCTCACCTGCCGCCGGGGTCTCTCCGATCATGGACTAGTTTGGCACATGACGGAGAGCAACGGGAGCCACGAGCCAAAGGACTGCCGTTATCTACCTCGCTGCTTTCGCAACCGCTGGAGAGTAGCTTAAGAGTCGGTCGTTATTTATGTTTATTTACATGTATTTATAACGCGCGCGCTACCGTTACATTGCACTGCATCTGGCGCCCCGATGCTTTTACATCAGTTCGTGAATGGGACGCTGGAAGCGATGTATCCCAGCGTTCAGAAAGACACGACTTTCACCAAGATCTTCGTGGGCGGCTTGCCGTACCACACCACGGACGCGTCGCTGCGGACTCACTTCCAGACCTTCGGCCGCATCGGCGAAGCCGTGGTGATAGCGGACCGCCACACGGGCAAATCCAGAGGATACGGCTTTGTGAGTCAAAAAAAAAACGTACATTTATTGTTGTTTTCATATAAATCTCAATAGCTTTTAAAATGATCGCGAAGAACAATAACGTTACTTTGTTTTTGTTGGTTTTACTCTCGCTACTCGGTTCTTTGCGCTCTCTTTAAGTAGTAAATCGGACGTGTTTGTCACTAGCACAGAAGTTTTGAAAACACAGTTAATCGTACAAAGAATAACAAACGCGATAGCCGATAGCGCGGTGTTCGATTCGCCAGTGAATTGTTCTTGAGAGTCGGTTCGTTTGAACGATCGGTTTGACCGTACTGAACCATTTGTTCTCCGCTCAGCTGACTCACTGAACCGAGCAGCGGACCCCGGACTAGAAGTTACTTGAATAGCAGATATGTTACAAATATGTTTGTTCTCGACATTTGTATGATAGCTTTTTATTAACACGCATACAAAATAGAGCTGGTTTTAATATAATAACAAGGGGACCATGTTGATATAAAAAACGATCTTTTTTGAACCGGTTCTTTGAAGCGAACTGTTCAAAAGAATCGATTCGCAGAAGTGTGTCGAACTTCACTTGAATGAATCGCTCGTGCGCGTGCGGTCTCCAGGTGACAATGCAATCGTCGCATGTCTTTGTTACAATGGTGAAGAACAAAAGCCAGTAGATGATGTACAGTAGAAACTCCTTTAATTTGCCTTAAAGCATATGCTAGTCACAAATGATGATCTGTATGCTTACTATGAGCCTTTTTAATAGGCCTAAATGTTTTTCCACATAGTCCGATTTAGTGCTGAAGAAGGATCTTAGATGTAATCCTTAGATATTGCGAGCTTCTCAGAAGCACGATATGCTCTTACATCGCATTGCTCCACAAGTGTGTGTGTGTGTGTGTGTGTGTGTGTGTGTGTGTGTGTGTGATGTTGAGAGTCACATGTGGGACCATAAGTGGATTATTTCTAAAAAAGCATGTCATCAATTATCTTCTTAGCCTCTTGGATGAAGTTTGAAAGCAGGGTCTCAGCTTTCTACGAAGTGGCCCCTAGCCATGAGCAGCTCAAACCTAATATTGCAGTGCACTGGAAGAGCATTTGTCATACAGAGCCGAGCTGTGAAAACAAGTCAGCAGTTGAGGCTGCTTAAACGCTTCACGGAAATAACCATAAACCCCTTCTACTTAAGCAAACTGGCATGGTATTAATGCCATGCTTGTATTTGTTAGATTAGTTTTAAGATCAAACCCAACTTAAATAGGTTAAAAAGACTCATTTTTGGCAACATAAACTATATAAATTGATCAGCTGATAAGAGGAACTGCATTGTGCAAAATACTGGTAAATCATGTCTCAGTTTTTTATTACAGTTTTATGAAATCATTGCAAATAGGTTATTCTTTATTCTTACAACTTAAGAATTACATAATATTTGTCAGTGTATAATATCCATGAGCTGAATTAATTTGAGTGGGTTTATCATTTTGGGGAGAAATGGCAAAGTGAGACATGAAGATTGGAATGAAAAATAAACTATTATTCTTCTTCTGTTGCAAATAAATAAATGAATAAATAAAATAAGAAATATATGCATTTTTATTAGACAAGTTTAGGTTTATTAGACAACTATATATATATATATATATATATATATATCAGGGGCGTTTCCTTCGAGGAGGCAAGGGAGGCAGTATCTCCTCAAAATATTGGATGAGAAAAAAAACATTTGTAGTACAAAAATAAAACTACGGCAGTATTACAAAATATACCGTTAAAAAGTGTATAAATCACTCATTTTTCTGAAGAAACTTTGTCCCACAGCGACACCAGCAGGTAAAGTTACAGCGAGACTCGGTACTCTCTTGCCTCCCCTGAGCCCATTAAGTTTTAACAGACCCGCAAAAGCATGTGGTGAGTTTGGTGGGGGGTAATTGAGAATGAATGAGGGAAAGTCACGTGAGAGGAGGCAATGCCTCCATTGCGATATGACTGAATATGACCGGTTCGGCTGTTATTGGTTCATGCAGTAAATCCTACCTCTTGTTTGTGTGCATTCGCAAATCAGTCTGAATGAACAATATGGTGGTGTTAATGGGAAGACTAATAAAAAAAAGTATGTAAACAGCTCACACACTTAGATATAACCACTTTGATACATTAAAATGAGACTTAAAATAGCATGAAAACATGATCTGTGGGAGTTTTTAGTGAGTAATCCGCTTGGTGAAATTTGAAGTCACAAATCTCTGTGTCTGTAACCAATATTTACAGAGCTTTGATAGAACAAATAGAAAACTGTTTAGAATGAGTTTATTTCTTCTTTTTCTGATAGTGTAAGTAATGTTTATTTTAATTCATTTACATTTGATTTAAGGAATTTGCCTCCTTATTTCAGAACACCGCTGCACCACTGCACAACACTGATATATACAGTATATAGAAATTGAGGTATCCCTAAATCTCACAAACTGTCAAATTTGAATTTATTACATTCAGGTAGTGCAAATCATGCAGAAGAAACTGTATATTGTTTTACTAAACATAACAGACATGATAATCACTCTGTGCTGTTACTGATTTCACATGTGAAAGAGGTGTTTCTTAAAGGCACAGTGGAGTGTACATTTACACGACAGCAATTGTACTAAAAACTGAAAAGTTTTCCTTCTTTTTAAAAAGTTGTGCATACAGACGGCAATGTTGTGAATGATCCCCGTTTACACAAATCCGAGAAAATGACAAAAAATGCTGTATTTTCATGCCAGGCCAGTAGGTGGCGACATATGAAGAAAGACTACGTGTCTGTGCACATACCTATTAGACTGAACACCTAATACACTTTGCATGACGTCACTTTTGACAAATTCAAGCTGAAAAGATAACAGTATTGTTTTCAAAAACATGCACTTTGAAACCGTTTTCAAAAGTTAGCATTTTCATGCTCCCAAAATGCCGTTGTTGTGTGAACAGCCAAAGTGCATAAAAGGTTTTCAGTTTTAATTTGAAATTAATGTCATGTTAATTCCCCTCTAAGCTTATAATACGCTCATATACGTAGAATTGTAAAAAATTATGCAAACAGTTTGAAAAAAAAAGTGGGAAAAAAACGTATGAAATGGCTCAACAAATAGCAAAATCACACTCATTCATAATGTGTCTGTACTTTATTTCTCTCTTTCTTCTTCAGGTCACTATGATAGATAAAAGTGCAGCTGAGAGAGCTTGTAAAGATCCCAACCCTATTATTGATGGACGCAAAGCTAATGTCAACCTGGCGTACCTCGGGGCCAAACCACGCAGCCCACTGACAGGTAAATACCAGACACAAGCTTTCAACTTACTCAAAATTGGGTATTTATCTTTTAAATCCTATGGTTATCAATTGTTCTGTCACTTTCAAAGGCGAAGTGTGTAATTTAAGCACCACAGAAATGCAAAAATTATGACTGTTTTCAAACAGGTTTTCTCAACATTTCCCCATCTGCCATTGGTCTGTCAAACAAATAAGTCTGTCCCAAACTCAGATAATGTTGCTGTGTCAGGCTGGTGGGGATGAACACAACTGTGTTTTGAAAGTGAGTCTGTTTATTCAATTCTGTTGTGATTAATAAATTATACACTTCCCCTTTAAGAATTGCAAAGCTGTTTGAAGCTTTTTTGCCCTTCTATGGTAGAGCAATTGTTGCAGATTTTTCTTGTTGATACTTTCGCTGTGCATGATCCATACTGGCAAAAACCGATGTATGTTTTCATCATATCATGCTCTCTGTATCATAATAATTTTTTGTACTCACACACAACTCTCTCTGGCTGCCACACACACAATATCACACTTATTTTAATGGGTTGTTTGACAGGTTTAGCCTGTCAAGAATTTACTGCCATGCAACATTTGCATCTATGCATGTGTGTGAATGCATTGGCAGAAAGTGATATATGTTCAGTCAGCACGTCTGTCTGCTCGTTCGACCTCCAGCTTTGCATTTCTGTGTGTGTGTTTTGTGGCTGATATGTCAGAAAGAGGAAGGGTATTGTGGAGGGAACCTAAAGCATGTACACCTGTCCAAGCACACCATATTCACTCAGGAAAAGAGGATAGTTTGGCCCCTGCTCTTGTTCTTGTCCAAACATGTTTGAAACGGCAGTCCTGTATCACGTTGTCTCTCTCTCCTCTGCCTCTGTAGCCATCGTCACATGACTCACGCCTCGATGTACTATTTTTTTTTTTTTAGGCTTACATGTTACTCTGGGAAACACATTGTTCAAGCACATTTTAGTTCAAGAGTGAATTACAAATAAAGATCATTAAAAGAAAAAATCTTATAAAAAATCCAATGCCAAGTTCTTAAAAAACATTTATATAGACATTTTTAAACAATATACTTTTTAAACGTATATCAAGCGTAGCGTTAGTTCTGGCAGGTCACGTTAGTCAAGCTTGCATCAGCTGACTCTCAGCTGATCCCCATCTACCTATAGGAATACGACACCTATCTAAGCATTCATATATAAGGTCCCTCAGTATTATCAGCAGTTTTCGCATTGCTCAGTAGCTAATTACCCTCCTCCATCCCCAGCTCCTCCTCTGTCAATCAGGATTCAGCCTTCTGATTATCCTTTGAATCAGACCAATTCTAAAATGTGTACATAACATTATTGAACTTTAACGATATCTGCAATGCATTTATGTTGGTTCTGTTCTGTTTACCCTGGGGGGTTATCACTGCTCTCCCTGCTCTCATCTATGCTAGGCTGCATGGATGCGCAGGGAGTTCTTGCCCAGAACGGAACAATACCGCCAATCCAAACTGAATGCTAATTGTCAATCATCTTTGACGATAGTGGTCCTGACAGAATTCTGTTTAGCTGTAAATTATTATCATTTCTATTTTAGTTTTAGTGATTTTAGTAATTAAACTTAAACTTATTTTAAAGGGGTCCTATTATGCTTTTTTTATTTTAGTCAGTGTGTAGTGTGTATGTTTTGGGCATTAAAAAGATCTACAAAGTTACAAATCTCAAAGTCCACTCCAAAGGGAGATATTTCATTTTTTTAAATCCCTTTTCAAGAACTAAAACGAACGGCTCGTTTGGACTACAGCGGCTGTTTTCCGGGTTTTGTGATATCATGAAGCGGCCCATTAGAATATCATTTAAATAATTCCCGCCTACAGAAATTCGAATGGTTGGGGGGTGGGGAGGGGCGAGGTCATGGGTTGAGTGCATCAGACAAGACGACGACGAAGAAGAAGTGCTGCTGTAGCCTCAAGTTTTCGCAAGTTAGGGAAACACTGGATTATGATATAATAAATTCAAATGTATAACAGTTTTCACTGCAATTCATGTTATAATGTTAGAATTAAAGAACAGGCTTTAATTTACCTGTGGAACCACAATTATGCCTTCTTGGAGATAAATCAGCTGTACCTAATATAGCAAAAAATGCTTTTACCCTTATTAAGATTGGTTGTATCACAGCTGCCAGGATGATCTTGCGCAATTGGAAATGCCCCAAAACCCCAGATTTGAAAGATTGGATTGATGGGATGATTGAAATTGCATCATATGAGTGCATGTTGGGGAGACTGCAGAGTGAGGGAGAAATGAAAAAAACATGGGATCATTTTTGGCAGCATATAAAAATGGTGTGATTGATGAGCAGGACTCCTTACCAACTGTTAAATTTCCATGTGCTTTTGTTTTATTACATTGATGGTGACTAGTGGCTGAATATGTAATTGGTTGGAAAGGTGAATATTGAATACTGTGGTGATGTACAAAGTTTTGACTGTTGAACAATAAAAAAAGTTGAATTACAAAAAAAAGAATTAAAGAACAATAAACATATTACTGTTGCACTTATCTGTACATAGTAAATGAAGTTATTTAAAAAAAAAACAATAACATTACCACTCTAATATGTCTTGCAATATCCGTGCGTGCAAAGGTTCTGCGCGATCCTCTTCTTCAATATTCTCGGGGTCTGAATCCGGCTCAAATTGATATGGCAATATTGACGCCATCCGTAAAGGGTTAGTTCACCCAAAAATGAAAATTAGTTTGTGTTTTACTCACCCTCGAGGCATCCTATGTGTGTATGACTTTTTTCTTTCAGACGAATCCAGTCGGAGTTATATTAAAAATTGTCCTGGCTATTCCAAGCTCTATCATTGCAGTCAGCGGGTGTTGCAGTTGAGCAGTCCACAAGTCGTCAAATAAAGCGCGCGCATCCATAATAAAACGTGCCGCAGATGGCTCCGGGGAATGAATAAAGTCCTCCTGTAGTGAATCCATGTGTTTTTGTAAGACAAATATCCATATTTCAAACACTTTTCTCTCACTTCCTCTGACTAGGATACACGGAAGCCGTTCCGGTAGATGACGTAGCACGTCGGCGTTGCGTGATTAGTGACGAATACAGAGAGAGAACAAAACAAATTAGAAGTAAGAAGGGTTGGGGGGGGAGTGACCGTGTATACACACACACACACACACATACAGTATAGTATGCATGAAAATGCATTTTTTCCAATTAAATACAGTTTATAGATTTAATATGGGCTGATTTTTGTGCTTGACACCTTTTTATTGGTCATTTTGTGTTTCAAGAATAATCCTGGCTATTCCAAGCTCTATCATTGCAGTCAGCGGGTGTTGCAGTTGAGCAGTCCACAAGTCGTCAAATAAAGCGCGCGCATCCATAATAAAACGTGCCGCAGATGGCTCCGGGGAATGAATAAAGTCCTCCTGTAGTGAATCCATGTGTTTTTGTAAGACAAATATCCATATTTCAAACACTTTTCTCTCACTTCCTCTGACTATGATACACGGAAGCCGTTCCGGTAGATGACGTAGCATGTCGGCGTTGCGTGATTAGTGACGAATACAGAGAGAGAACAAAACAAAACGCCGGTCACAAATTAGAAGTAAGAAGGGTTGGGGGGGGAGTGACCGTGTATATACACACACACACACACACATACAGTATAGTATGCATGAAAATGCATTTTTTCCAATTAAATACAGTTTATAGATTTAATATGGGCTGATTTTTGTGCTTGACACCTTTTTATTGGTCATTTTGTGTTTCAAGAATAAAAAGTGAGTGACGTGACATGACATGTGGCCAAGTATGGTGACCCATACTTGGAATTAGTGCTCTGCATTTA